GTGCTGTACTTATTTTTTATCACTAGCTATTTGTTAGCTGACTTCGGTACTAAAGCAAAGAGAATTTTTAAAGTTAAAAAAAAAATTGGAGAGGTAGGATCTAAGTTAAAATGACACATTTTATGAAAACTTATGCATGACAAACAGATTCTGGAATTACTCCAGAATTGGCCATAAGAAAGCTAAATTATGATCTGCATAAACAAAACACATTGTTTTCTAATAAATATTTTATCATCACTTTAAGTGGAGAAAAGCATAATTTAAAAAAATCATCCTGCAAAAAGTTATACAGTCGCCCCTCTGTTTTTGTGAACTTGAAGTCCACATCCGTTGCCTGTTTGGAGGCGGCAAATGGAGGGGGGCAAAATGGGTTGCATGCCTGTGGTGCGTGCCCATGGAACCCACAGGCATGCACCGCTATTCAAGCCTATAGGGTTTGAATATTTGCGGTTTTCCATTTTTGCGGGGTGTGTGTGCCTGGAACAGATCCACCCCCAAAATAGAGGGGTGACTGTAATGTTTCCGGGTTTTGACTAGAAAGATTGTTTCAGGCCTGAAAACAGATGGGCAAAAAGCGCTGGCTTCAGGGTGCATTGGGAGCCACCGGTCTGCTTCACCTCTTAGTTTATTCACCTATGGGATGAATACAAAACAGACAAGAAAACAATAAAGACAGAAGAAGCCATCAACACTAATATAACAAATTATTTTCTCACTTTTAGTCCCCCACAATGCCAATCAAACATAAAAAGTACTAATTCCCAAAAAAGAAAACCAAGACTAGAAATTGCAATGATATGAGATAAGTACTCTTACATAAAAGCCACATGCTTCCAAGATGGGGATGGGGGTTGGCATAAAATTATCATGTTTGATATATTAAAAGAACCGTTTATTCAGAATATAATTATAAATTGAATTTACCTTTTAAAAGTTAATTTTTGTTAAAATAGAATCCTCACTTGTAAGGGTCATCTGAGCTATAAGGAACTGTTTATGAGGATCACTAAAACAGAAGAAACCATCAATATTAATAAAGCAAAGAAAATTACTTTGTCTCCTCTAATCCTCTACTCTGTCAAGCAGATAGGAGCACTCATTTCCATAAAAAGAATTGAGAAAAGAAAAACAATACCAGAAATTACAATAATGTTAGATACTGTACATAGCTTTACATAAATGTGTACCTGCTACATAGTTTTTAGAAATAATTCTGGATATGTAAATATAAGAATACCTTCTCTTACATATTTTGTTCATCATTCTAAAATAATATTTCTGAAATGGTTCCAGAAGAAGGAGTGGCATCCCCCCACACCTTCATACTTCCATTGCAAATATTAAATCATCACTGAAAATAACCCATCAATCCACTGACCAGTTAATGGTTTGCTTGCAGATTTTAGATGCCGCTCAAATTAATGAGCCTCCTGTATTGATCACTGGGCCTAAGTACCCTAAGATACCAGATCCCATCTGATCTTAGAAGCTAAACAGGGACAGCTCTGACTAGTACTTGGATGAGAGATTGGCAACAAATACAAGATGGTTTAGGCTGTATTTCAGAAGAATGAATTGACAAAAATGCCTCTGAGTATTCCTTGCCTAAGAAAACACTATGAGATTCATGAAGTTCCCATAAATTGACAGGTGACTTGAAGAATACATACACACAAGCATACACATATTGATCACTGACTTTTTACTTCTCTCACACATCCTCCTAGCTGCAAACAGTGCTGGAACGGTTACTGCATATCAGTGAAGTACATGTCAGGAAGAAGGGAGGATTAACAGGGCAATCCATGTCCATTCAGAAATAAGTCACATGCTGAATTCAAAGACACCTGCTTCCAACAATGTTTGTCTAGGTATTATGCCTCAAGATCAAATCTTGCATATGTCTATTCAAATGTAATCCCTAACCATTTCATTACGATATACTTCTGAGTAAGTATGTGTAGGATTACAACTTCTCATAATTAGGGAAAAGCTATTTTCCCACTTATCCTTGTACTCAAAAGGCTTCAAAGCAAGAATGTGTACAAGTACAATGGCTTCCTATGGAACATTTTATATGACTTGCCTCATAGGCTGAATTTGTAGAGAATTCATAACTTCTCCAAAATCCCATGCAAAACAATACTTTCTTAAATTTCATAAATTGCCCTCACTTGCCTAGTGACTCAAGTAAGAGTTATTTTTATTGTGAAAGGTTCTCCATGTTGTGAAGGCAGATGACTTTCAATCAGTCCTGTTTACTCAAATCTTGAAAATGCCAGGGATTGAACCTTGGATCATCTGTGCCCAAAGCTTGTCCTCAAATACTGTATCCTCCTCCTTTCTCCTTTGGGAGAAACAAATCACCAAGAACAGATGGCAACCAAATAGAACTACTTCATTCTACAGAGACAGAATTTACTCTAGTTGTAACAAAATCTGTCAAGAAACATGGAAAACAAAACAATGGCCCACATATTAGAAATGGTCAATATATATTCCAATCCCCAAGAAAAGGAGCACCAAGAATTGCACTAGCCACAAGACTATTGCATTAATTTCCCATGCAAGCAAAGTGCTGCTCAAAGTTCTACTACAACAATGACTTTGACCATATATGGAGTGAGAAATGGCAGATGTCCAAGCTGGTTTCAGGAATGGAAGAGGCACTAAGGATCATATTGCAAATATGGATAATGGAGCACACCAAATAATTTAAAAAGACAATCATTCTATGCTTTATAGACTGTGTCTTTGACTGTATACATCATGAGAAACTATGGATCACTCTTAAAGAAATGGGTGTGCCACAACATCTGATTGCCCTGATGCATAACCTGTAGTCAGGACAAGAGGCTACTGTGAGGGCAGAATACAGAGAAGCATAATAGTTTATAATTGTCAAGGGGGCCAGGCAAGGCTGCATCTTATCACCCTATATGTTTAACCTGTATGTCAAAAATATTATACCATCCTACTAACACTAAATAATGAAAACTTGGAATGATTAGTGAAAAAAATAAAAGAAGAAAGTGCAAAGGCATGCTTACAGATTAAGATGAAGAAAACAAAAATAATGATCACAGATTACTTACATAACTTTAAATAAAGTTAAATAAATAAATAAAGACAATAAAGAAATTGAAATAGTACAAAATTTTCCATAGTTTGGCTCATTTTTTAATCAGAATGTAGACTGCAGTCAAGAAATCAGATGGACTGGGACTTGGTAGGGCAGCTTTGAAGGAACTAGAAAAGACCCTGAAATGTAAAGATATATCATAGAATCATAGAATCATAGAGTTGAAAGAGACCACAAGGGTCAT